AGAACCTTGAGGAACTCCACATGTGATAATACAGAGTTCAGATCTTATATCATTTATTTGTACAAACTGTTTTCTATCTTTCAAATAGCTAGATTGTATTTTCACAAATTCTGTCTGCATTATCTCCAAAACCTGTTCAATACCTTTACCTAAACAAAAATTGTGGCATCATCTACAAATAGTCCTGACACATTTACCAAGTCATTCACATATAAAATAAATAACTTAGGTCCCAGTACAGAACCTTGAGGAACTCCACATGTGATAATACAGAGTTCAGATCTTATATCATTTATTTGTACAAACTGTTTTCTATCTTTCAAATAGCTAGATTCACACCGTAGTGCTGATCCTCTAATGCCATATCGATTCAGCTTTTTAAGAAGAATACTGTGGTCATTAGTAACAAATGCTTTTTTAAATCAACATAAATACTAACACAGTATTGTTTTCAATCAACAGCCATTGTTATCTGTTCCATCAAGTCCATGAGAGCCATTGATGTTGAATTATTTACTCTAAACCCATATTAACTGCTACTTAAAATATTTTTTTCTTTGATAAATTGATCTAATCTGTTTACAAATAATTGCTTTAATTTTTTTTTGAAAACTGTGGTAATATGGATATTGGTCTCTCATTATTAAACACATTTCTCACCATTCTTACAGAGAGGAATTACCTTAGCTGTTTTCATATTATCTGGAAATATTCCTGTTGAAAATGATATGTAAATGGCTACATAACACAACTGATTACATCATTCACTAACATCATATCCATGTTAACCCAAACTTTTGATCTTAAAACTTGATCTTGATATTAAAGTGAAAACATACAGTATAGTGTTTGTATTGAGAATCCTACCTGGAGCAGCTGCATGATGCTCTAGTCCCCAGATCATTAAAGTTCCACATGTTAACTCCATTTGGCACTTCCTTTGTTGGCGTCCCATCAGTTTGCTGATTTGGTCTGCAGGGAACGAAAACAAGACAACCACCTCAGCTCCAGTGTTGTAAATCCTGTCTGGTACAGTGTTGAAGGGAATTCATGATCAATGGGCCTCATGCAAGAACCGTTCGTACGCACAGATTTGTTCTTAAGTTTTGCGTATGAGTGATTTAGGAGAATTTGTGGCATTCACAAATTTTTTCATATTCTAAGATTTTCTTCAGATTCTAACAAAATTTACGAGTGGTCCAGACCTGCCGTATATTTTACGAGCAGTCAGTCTGCTGTTATCCAGACGGGTTTTCTTCACTAATAACTTTATATTTC